TAAAAAATGAAACAGACCAACAAGGGGAAAAAAAGAGACAAACCAAGAAACAGACTATTTTTTTTTAAAGGAAGGGAACTTTTTTTTTTTTTTTTTTTTCAAAGGGAGATGGGGGAGAAGCAGAAGGAGAGGAAGAGAAAGAAGAATCTCAAGCAGGTTCCATGCCCAGTGCAGAGCCTGATTCAGGGATCTACCTCATAACCCTGAGATCATAACCTGAGTTGAAATCAAGAGTCAGACACTCAAATGACTAAGCTCCCCAGGCGCCTCCCAAGAAACAGCCTCCTAACTAAAATAGAGAAAAAACTAACTGATGGTCCCCAGGAGGGGAATGGGTAAACAGGTGTCAGGGATTCAAGAGCACAGAGTAATACAAAGATTAAAGCCATTTTCACCTGAAACTAATAAAACACTGTTAACTACACTGGAATTAAAATTAATAATTTTTTTAAAAATGAAAAATCTCTTTTTAAAAATTCTTTAGTTTTACTGCTCCTGCCTATTTCTGACACAGTTAACGCACCGGCTGGGCACAGAGGCTGTGGCGGAGGACCCCACCTGCACCCCCAGCCCTGACGGGCGGGATAAAGAGGCAAATGTGGCGAGCATCAGCACACTTGCTGCCCACCTGCCGGCTGCCCACTGGAAATCAGAGCTGCCCGAGCAAGAGGAGATTTGAGCTGAGCCACTGGATCTGCCCTAAGAGCCATTAGCAATTGGACAATGGAGGTTGTAGCCACATGTCGGTGTCGGATCGCATTTTTGGACATATTCCTGTGAATGCTGGATAGTTGATTCAGAGGGGACTTGAGATAGCACCAAGCACAGAGAAGGCATAAAACGAGTGTTCTTCTGGTCAATCCACATAAACCACGTAAACCAGTGAAGAATGCTCTCGCTCGTCTTTATATAGAAACTACCTGTTAGGACACCTTCAACATCCAACTGGAATTTACTCTTCACTTTAGTTTTCAGACAGTCTGAGCTGTTGAATGGGTCATTATCTCTTCCTACCTTGACAGCCTACCTCAGGATTTACCTCTTCAGAACATTTCTCCAAGCCAAATCTACCCAAATCTGATTACTAATTTATCTGGTACCTCAAAACAGGTCAGTCTGTTCTTAGAGAATTTCAGATCTAAGAGGAACTGCAGGGGCGCCTGGTTGGCTCAGTCAGGTAAGCGTCTGCCTTCGGCTCAGGTCATGATCCCAGAGTCCTGGGATCAAACCCCATGTTGGGCTTTGCACTCAGTGGGGGAGGCAGCTTGTCTCTTTGCCCCTCTCCCCACTCGTGTACACACACACACACTCTCTCTCTCTCACTCTGTCAAATAAATAAATAAAATCTTTAAAAAATAAATACATTAGAGGAACTTCAGACACCATGCCCTGCGGCCGGCCCTCTCTGAGAGGCAGCTCCGGGATCCAGGGGTTCTAGAGCAGACACACCTGGGTCCCAGCCAGCACTGGCTCCTGTCAGCTGCCTGACTGGGGGCAGTTTCCTCACCCACCTCCTGAGCCTCACTCTTCACAACTATAACACAGCCTCTGGCCCTTGTAAGAATTTAACAAATCATAGCTGTTACCATCAATGTTACTTTGTGCCGTAGATACCACTTGCCCTAAGGCTGTAACAGTTAGGTCCCTAAGGTGTTCGGAGCAAAGGCCCTCACCATTTCTCTCCTGCACTACAACAACAACTTGCCAAGTGGGCTCTACAACCAGGGATTGATTCCTCTTCTACACTATTACCAGAATGTTCCCTTTTAGAAAACAAATCTGAATGAAATCATTCATGCTTAAAAATGGTCAGTGGCTCCCAGTGTCCACAGTACAAAGTGTAAACTGCTTAGCAGCTCCTCCGCCGCCCTTCACGGTCTCCCCCTGGCCCCTTCAGAGCCATCTCCACCTGCCATCCCCATCCCCAGGGATGTTGTGCTTCAGCTCTCCACAACCTCCACCCTCCTCCCAAGTTGCCGTGCCCTCTCACACTTCCGTGCCTAGGTCCCGGCTATCCCTCTGCCGAAAGCATTCACCTGTCTTCATCTGGACAACTCCATCACCAAGCCCCAGGCCAGCCTTCTCTTTCCAGAAGCTTCCACGGCTCCAGCTCCATAGGCTCAGGCATTGCCCCGCCTCTGGGCTCCTCCTTCCTTACAGCCTTCCACTATCTTCATCCTCATCACTCCCTTCTCCCAGTCTGTGGTTTTCCCTCTGACTTCTGACTCTCTCTCTTTCTGGGGGAGGGGCTGCTTCTCAGGCATCTTCATACACACAGGGCCCCCGTTCAGCACCTGTCCCAGGGCGAGCGCTTGCTAAAGAGCTCTGGAATGAAGGACTAAGTGAACAAGTGAGTGGATGGGTGATTAAATGAATTAAAGAACTAGAAGCTTCCAGGTTGTTTCTCATTTCACTATATCCACCTTATCCACCTTTGTTTGCACACTAATTATTTAATAAATTTATTAGTACAGTTTTCACTTGAGCATACGATAGCTCTTGAATTAGATTAGAAGCTTCTAAAGGATAAGTTCGTCTTCCAAACTACACTCAGTATACCAATACAGGACATGCCAGTTTTGGTTAAGTTTCTGAATGCTCTCTTTTGCAATATACCTGCATGGCAAGAATTTTCTTCAGTTCTTACAAGGGAAGTTACAATGAAGGCTTCATTTCAAAGAGAGTATGGTAATAAGATGTTATCCTAGACAGTCATAGAAAAGGAATGACCTGGTTTATTTTCTTTCCAATAGCAGAAAACAGTCAGGTTCCATCTCTTTAGATGTTTAAATAGAAACCTGTATTTTAGTGTTCAGAACCTTCAAAAGAGATATTTTCTTGCATAAAACATGAAAACATGGGCTCAGTGGAAAAACTATCTTCAGTCTCTCTCATGTCTTCATCAAACTTTCCAAAATATTATCTAAAGAAATATAGTACTACGTTAAGCTTAAATTTATTCTCATAAGTGTTTATAAAGTATTCAACCAAAGAAATAGCTCCTAAGTATGAAACTTATTTTTATTCCTGGTAACTGAGTGCAGAGACAAATGTGACAATAAAGGCCAACATTTACTCCTCCATACACATGAGAATAAACAGGTTCACAGGCATGCTGACCATCGCACACCTTGTCTATCGACCCTAGATCAACTGTTCTCAACCAAGGACTCTGCCCTCCAGGGGACATTTGGCAATGTCTGAAGACATGACCGTAACCAGGAGCTTGCTACTGGCCCCTAGTAGATGAGAGCCAGACATGCTGATGGTGCTAAACCTTCCACAGCGCACAGAACAACCTCCCATAACAAAGAATTATCTGGCTGAGGGGCGCCCAGGTGGCTCAGTCGGTTAAGCAGCAGACTTCGGCTCAGATCATGATCCCAGGATCCTGGGATCAAGCCCCACATCAGGATCCTGGCTCACCAGGGAGCCTGTTTCTCCCTCTCCCTCTCTGTGTGCGCTTTCTCTCTCTCTCTCTCTCTTTCTCTGTGTGTGTGTGTGTGTGTGTCTCAAATAAATAAATAAATAAAATCTTAAAAAATATATTGTCTGGCTCAAAATGTCAATAGTGCCAAGATTGGGAAAGCATGCTCTACAATGACAGATTTCCATATCACTAAGGCAAAATAGTAGAAGAGGATGAGTTCATATTCCTAATTACTCTCCCCTCTCCCCAAACTGCAGAATTAGGAGGAAATAAATTATGATATTGTCACAGTTTATACATGAGATAGCATTTGAAAGGAAACAAGATCGGGAAAAATAAGGAGCATTTCAGCAATTGAATTCTTAGAAGGAAGACACATTTTAAACACGTTCATTTCTACTGTAGTCAATTTTGGCATCTGCAGCTGGTTTTAACTGTCCAGGCAGATGGGCAAGTGGAACTAAAGTCAGCCTATAAAACCTACACCAAGGGACACCTGGGTGGCTCAGTTGGTTAAGCCGCTGCCTTCGGCTCAGGTCATGATCCCTGTGTCCTGGGATCGAGTCCCACATGGGGCTCCTTGCTTGACGGGGAGCCTGCTTCTCTCTCTCTCTGCCTCTCCTGCTGCTTGTGTGCTCTCCCTCTCTCTTTCTCTCTGACAAATAAACCAATAAAATCTTTAAAAAAAAAAAAAAAACCTACACCAACTCCAAGAGTACAATTTTCCAAGAGCTAAAGGAGTTCTGAGTATGAGATTTCCAGTGGCTCTGAAAAGCACTGCAATTCCCATGGACATTTGTAAAGGGGGTCAAAAAGCTGAAGTCTAATGTATCTCCAAAAAAGTTGACCAGGCCTAGTCATTCTGTAATAGGCAAACGGAACTATTCCAGCTTCAAAGGAATAATTCGGAAGTATATTCACTGGACTGGGTGACTGAAATACCAAATGAAGAAGGCATCCAAGGAAGATTATTTTCTACCACTTCTAAAACTGTATTTGCATTGCAAAAATAATCTTCACTAAGATGGATATTTGGGTGTCTATTTCCAAATGGAATGACAAAAACAGGGATGCCTGGGTGGCACAGTTGGTTAAGTGTCTTGCCTTTGGCTCAGGTCATGATTTCAGTGTCCAGGGGTTGAGCCCCACATTGGTCTCCTTGCTCAGTGGGGAGCCTGCTTCTTCCTCTGCCTGCAGCTCCCCCTCCTTGTGCTCTCTGCCTCTGACAAATAAATAAATAACATCTAGAAAGACAGAAAGGAAAAGAAAAAAGAAAAGAAAAGAAAGGGAAAGAAAGAGGAGGGAGGGAGCGAGCAAGGGGGGGTGGACAGAAGGGAGGAAGACAAAAACAAAATTGTTTAAGCTAAATATTTTAAGGATATATTTGGAGTTCAAGTTTTTTGAAAAGATTTTTCACTGAAGGCTATTATAGTTAACTGTTCAGACTTCAGCGAAACCATCTACAGGTACTGCTGGTTTTCATAATGTACGATTCTGGAACAGCACAACACTGATTTACATTTCCAGTCATAGAAACCTCCAAACACAATCCCCATGGATAAATACTAACCACCAATCCGTGATAAAAATCTCTTCTTCTGCCTCTTCCATAGCATTTGCCACATCTTCAAAATACCCTTTGGCATTAACGTACCTGAAAGATAAGTGTTTTTGTTTCATTTTTTTTTTTAATGAAAAGAAAGAGATCTTATGGTAAAATAAAAGATAAAAGCCACGGCCTGAGTCACTACAAAGCCATCATTTTACTTTGTAAAACTGAAGACCAAGGACTGAAAATCCCATCTTCCGTCTGCCATGCAGGAAGTACAGTAAGGAGACAGAAGGAAGCGACCGGATTCTACTGAGAGAACAACAAATTGGTCTCATCATCATGAGTCAGATGAATTCCCTCATCCTGTTGAACTCACACCATGGTTTGTCTGGGACTGAAGACAGACCAATTTCCAAATCATGGGTAGAAAAACATGCAAAGCATTTTATTTAAAAGAAATACCTAGCAAATAAATTCTTATTCTTTAAGTACAGCTAATAACTTAAATAAACATTCCATGTGTATCATTAAAAATGGAAAAGTTAGCTTTTAAAATCAAACTTCAAAATCTAAAGCTAGCTTCTGAGTGCTCACTGTGAAAATCTTAAATACAAAAATTAGATAACTACTCTACGCTCAGGTAGTCCTCTAAAGAAAGACCCTTGTCAAGTATAAGGCATAATATGTTTCCACAGCTTTGAAAACTGCTTCCAGATGAATTTAGGCCCGCTATAACAACAGATACTATGACTATAAGAAATAGTCTTAGAGCAAAACAATCTTACCATTTAGCTAAAGTATTCTCTTGGATAGCAGCGTATGACCCAAATCGATGATCTTTGAGAAAGTTGGTGCCGTGTTTCTGGATGAATTCTTCTATAGCCCCTCCCCACCACCGAGCATGTCTATAGCTGTTGCATTTTAAAATAAGTGTCCTTCAAAAAAAAGCAAAGTGTGGAAAAAGGTGATCACTCTGTGTTCTGTTTCTTTAAAAAAAAAATTAACAATTAAACTTGTGCCATTTTGTTTTGGTATTGCGGCAAACATAGGTTGAAATTTTTAAGCAAAGAACATCTTATTTATATCAAAAAAGCAGACTTCTGAACATTTTGGGCAGGATTTTAAACTATATTCAATATAGCAAGAATAAATTTTCAGGTAGTTTACTCATTCATTCATTCTAAAATGCGTAAACGTACTTACTACAACTAAAACTATAGTAGGCTATGAGGGAGATAATCTTAAACTTCAGGCTCTCAGAGAAGATCAGAAAGTTTAGCATCTTTTTACACCCCCCCCCACACACAAAACACATGCCAATGTGTATCAGACAGGGTATGTGTGTGTCTGTGTGTGTAAATACATCTGTATTTATGTAAGTCAATGTGTGAAAAGAAAAAAAATTATATCTGTATTCATGAGGCTGAACTTTGTAGAACCAAATGTATATATAGAGAAAAAGATACACATATTATGTAAGTACAATCTTCCAGAAAAAACATTTATTAACACACACTCGCTAATAAAATCTATAGTTAATGAACACTTGAGTATCCCTTCAAGATTTCTTTCTTAAAATCTGTGTGCAAACAGAATTTTTGTAAATCAAATCACTGTTTATGTGTTCCTGTTAACTAAAGGATAGCAATTTATAAAGTAAAATTTTATTTTTTTTAAATATGAAACTATCATTCCTTAACTTATCTGTTTAGTAAGTTGGTATTACCGAGTCATTAATTTTGTAGTAGGCATACATTTTATTAAAGCAAGCATAAATCAACACATGTGATTATTTATTCTGTTTTACACTGGGTATTCTATACTTAAAAATATATAGAAAGAAAAGTAATTTCATTATTTTTGGTTGAGGATGAGTTCAAAATAACAATTTTCTAACACTTAAATTATTTTACTTCCTTCACTGAAGGTTGGGAGAGAAACTTTGTTTTTGAGAGAAATCTTTTAAAAATACTTGAAATTTCTACCTTGAAAGATTATCAATTCGGAGCCCATATTTGGTCTCTGTCTCCTTCTTCCCCACCTTAATTTTGAATTCTTTATCGACCAGCAGGACAAAGGCAATGGCACCACTGTCTGGTTTCATATATAGCAAAAATGAATCTTTCACTATCAACCACCTGTAAGAAGGTAATAAATATTTTCAGAGTTGATTACTGAAACAAAAAGCAGAACAAGTTAAGACAAGTAAACACCATCCCAGACTATATATATTTTATTTTTTACATAGGGTATATATTTTTTAAACATCACTATGCAACAACCACAATCACAAAAAATGAACAGGAGGTCTACTATGTTTTTCTAAGAAGTACTGGCACCAGGCAATTCAAAGCAATTCGTTAGCTTAGTATACACTAACGGCAAAGCCTGAAAGAGCGCCCCTGAAACGGGCACGTAGAGCTTGCAGAACGTATAGTAGGACCCTCAGTTGTTGGAAAAGTGGAAATGCATTGGAAACATGCTTGCTAAAATAAACTGTCATAAAAGAGGCAAATTAAGTCTCTTGGGAGGTAAAAATCCTCCTTTAAAAACAACCCAGTAAGCATCTAATACTCCACATATTCTGTTCTTTAATTCAAATTACTTGTGGTTTTAAGGACTATTAATATACAATGTTCAATAGGACATGATCTATCAGAAGCACATATGTATTCAACTCAATGTATATTTAGGAGTTTCATGAAGGGGGCGCCTGTGTGGCTCAGTTGGTTAAGTGACTGCCTTCAACTCAGGTCATGATTCCGGAGTCCCTGGATCGAGTCCCGCATTGGGCTCACAGCTCCATTGGGAGTCTGCTTCTCCCTCTGAGCTTCTCCCCTCCATGCTCTCTCTATCTCTCAAATAAATAAATAAAAACTTTAAGAAGTTCCATAAAGGGAAAATACCGTGATAAGCTGGATTCTAGGGAAGGGGTAGCAACAGCACAGAGGTAAATGAGACATGCTCTCCAAATGGCTTACTAGGTTAGTGGGGCACAAAGATACTAGAAACTGTAGGGGTAATGTGTATAAGAAGGAGGGAGTCCTCAGTTTGGACTAAGAGACAGAGGTAGAGGCATTGACTCAAAGAGGTGGTATCTGAGCACAGTGGCTGAGGCGTATATCCCACACGGAAGGAAGAGTGGGCAAAGGCATGGAGGTATGGAAATGCTACATGTGTTGGCAGAAAGTCTGGTGAGGTCGGGTCTTAGGGAATATAGTAAAGAACAATGGGCAAATGAGTATCACGTGGGCATGATGGGCAAAGGCTGCACTGAGGAGGGTCTAAGGACCCTGCCCAGGACGCTGATTTTACAGCATGGAACCTGCGTTTCATAAACTTGTTTTGCCATCAGAAGCTCTTGAGATGCTTGTTGAGATCCATTAAAAAGCTCTTGAGATCCATTAAAACGGCCTGACAATCTGTGTTTTTAACAGAAACACCAGGATGCTTATTAAATAAGAGAATCCTCATGCCCCAGCAAGGAAGAGGATGAGACTATCATTCTAATTGTGTTCTAGAAAGAAAATTATGAAGGATAAAGAGAGATGTAATATGGCAGGTTAGCAAGCCCCAACAATAATACAGAACAACTCTTCTAATACTTTACTGTGAATATGCCTCGCATGGGTATCCTGTTAAAATGCGGATTCGGTGCAGTATCACAAGGGCAAGAAATGACAAGTGTTGGTGAGGATGTGGAGAAAAGGGCACCCTGGTGACCTGTGGGTGGGAGTGTAAATTGGTGCAGTCACTACGGAGAACCATATGGAGGTTCCTCAAAAAAATACAGAAATACCAAATGATCCAGCATTTTCGCTTTTGTAATATTTACCTAATGAAAACAAAAACACTAATTCGAGGAGATGTATACACCCCTATATTTGTTGCAACATTATTTATAATAGCTGAGATATGGAAGTAACTTATTGATGAATGGATAAAGAAAATGTGGTAGAATATTACTCAGCCAATAAAAAAAAGATCTTGCCATTTGCAACAACATGAATGGACCTAGAGAGGGTGTTATGCTTAAGCGATATAAGTCAGAAAGAAAAAGACAAATACCATATAACTTCACTTACATGTGGAATCTAAGAAAACAAAAACCAACCAACCAAAGCAAAACAGAAATAGACTCATAAATACAGAGAACAAATTACTGGTTACCAGAGCAGGGACAGGTGAAGGATGGGCATACAGGTGAAGGAGATTAAGAGGTACAAACTTCTAGTTGTAAAATAAGTAAGTCACAGGGATGCAAAGTACAGCTCAGGGAATATTTTAATAACTTTGCAGGGCCACAGATGGTAACTCTATGTATCGTAGCAAGCATTTGATAATGTACATAAATGTTGAACCACAATGTTGTACGCTGAAACTAATGTAATATTATATGCCAATCATACTTCAATTAAAAATAACAGTAATAAAATAAATAATAAAAATAAAATGCAGATTCTGATTCAGTAGTTCTGGGGCAGGGACTGAGATTCTGCATTGCTCACAAGTTCATGGGTGATGCCCAGGCTAGCATGACATTTGAGCAGTAAGGATGTAGATGACAGGCATGACAATGACAGTGAGAAGGCAAGACCATATGGGATTGATTTAAAATGAATACAAGTGGCAACTGTGTCATGCTGCCTACAACACCATATAATCACATTTACTTATGTAAATGTGTCATTGTGTCGTTATCAAGTAAGTCAGTTCATAACAATAAAACAGTAGTGGGCATATTATATCACATATCACACAAAGCCAAAGCCCATTATAGAACGGGAAAGGCTGGAACACCTGAACATAAGTAATATTATAAATGTGACATGAAAGTCAGCATCTAAAAAAAAATCTGTAATAAATTGTTATGGAAATTGCTAACCACATTACAATTTAGTAGCTTTAGAGTTGGGATTTAACACACACAAATCTATGTTGGGCTCTACCTAGGTTCATTTCATTCATTTGTTTTTTATAATACAGCCTGGCTCCCTCCCAATAAAAGGGAATGGGATGGAGTTAGGATGACTCACAGTGAAGGACATACATATGACATGTTAACAAAAGGAAAAACATTAAAGTCACAGAAAGCAAATACCTAACCACAACATTAACATAAATATGGTGACGGTATGCCAACCTGCCTCTGAGCTTCCTGGTTTTTCTTACCCAGTGAATAAATTAAAGAAATAAACGGTGTCTCCCCCAAAAATTAAATTCCAAAGGAAGTTTCTCATTTGGGGACCTAACAGCAGGCAAATGAGCAGTATAACGGATACCATTCTCAATAACTGTCAGCAAAGGCAGGAATTCTACTTTTTGTAAGCATTCGCCTAACACTGCTCAATGTCAGTGTCACTGCTACTGCTCAAGCCGTGATATAAACAAGGACTCAGTGGTTCCGAAGGCCTGAGTTGTGAGTGCAGACATGCAGGCTGCTTATCACTGAGTTTAGGATAAAAGGGAGTGAGGCGGATGACGTATCTGTCTAAAGCTCCTTCTTTAGCCGCACTCCCTTCTCCCAGCTGCACCTGCGGTAGAAGTTAGCGGGCACGAGGCATGGCCCAGGCCCAGAGAACCGCCGTGCCGTCCTGCTGACTGAGTAGGAGCCAGGGGCTTTGAAAACCACAGCTGCCGGGCCGGCTGGTCAGAGAAGAAAGTCAAACACAGCAGCATGGTGAACCTGTGTGACTGGAAGTAAAGCACACCTACACGGCCGCAATGCGAGCTCTCACCAGAGTGCCACACCGGGGGCCACAGTGTGGGATGACGGTGGGGTGACCCCTACCCAGGTGTACCAGCTCCCATGATTGGCATTACAAAACAAATCTCAGAAAAGCTTCTGAGAGCAGAGGCTGGTGGCACAACCACCAGGACAAAGGCTGACAAACATGGCATTAGGGACAGGCCACAAGGTACCATTGAGCAGGCAAGTCCTACACCAGGACATTTGGTACATGACATCCTGCAGAAATGGTACTTTTCTCTAATTGGCACAGAGGATCTGTACAGGCTCTCAGCAACCTTGTTCAGCAATGGCAAGGAGAGGGCTGGATGTACTATGGGGCGAGAGCACGGGTGAACACTGGCGCTGCCATCCATGGGGTCTCCTATGTGCATTCTGTCTCTGCCCCTCCAAGATGAGGCAGACTGCAAATACAGAAGAGTTTACTAGTAACAGCTGGATTTTTTTTTTTTTTTAAGTAGGTTCCATGCCCAGTGTGTTGTCCAACATGGGGCTTGAACTCACGACCCTGAGGTCAAGACCTGAGCTGAGATCAAGGGTTGGACGTTTAACCAACCAAGCCACCCAGGTGCTCAGGTGTCAGCGGGATTTTTAAAGCTGAATGTCAAAGATAACAATCTTTGTTTCCGTGAATTCTTTTTAATAGTCATTAAACATCAGGGTAAACTGACTCCGTCTTTATATAAAGCTCTTAATTACGTCATTCATTAAAATTCTTCAGATTTCTTTCCTTTCTCTGCATCAACAAAGGAGATAAGATCAAGTTGTCTTCTGGAAGTCGGCACCGGCTACGCAGGGACTAAGCACCTACCTACCCGTCATCCTCCCTGGGCTCCGATTCCAGCTCAGCCACCTGACTGTGTGACTTGCGTGACTGAGCTGAAGGTCCCTACCCATGAAATGAGGGGAACAGCGATGCCCAGCTCATCTGTGTTTGTGCGAAGTTAACAGAGGTGATTCACATACGTTGCTCAGCACCGCAACTCACACTGACAATGAGGCACTTTACAAACGTTCTTGTTCTCAAGGAGGTGAGATCATAGTCCCTTCGAACAAGATGCCTCCTGCCTGGGCCACTCCTTGCTATGGCACTAAAATGCGGACAAACCACCAGAGCCGGCCTTCTCAGCCTCCCCTCCTCCTGTTGTCTCCCACCACTGACGTCTGGCTGTTCATCAGATTTGCCAAGGTCGTTCTCTGCACCTCTACATTTGTTATTCCTCTACCTAGAAATATTTCTTCCGGATCCTCCCAAGGGCTGTCCTTTCCTGTTCATCAGCTCTCTGCTGAGACTCTCCTCCCCAGGGAGGCCTTCCCAGGCTACTCAAGGGTAAAAAGCTGGCCCAGCTCCCAACCCACCTTCCATCCTGTTTGGCTTCCTCAGGACACGTCCCTGGGATTATTTGCTTATTCACTGTCTGTAGAATTCTTGGTATAGCTCAAAGTTTGGAGAAATAAATGCTACATTTATTTCTTAAAATTTGTGTCTCCTTCTCCTCAGACATCATTTGAGATAAGAAGTACATCTTTAATCCACCACCCAATGTCAAGAAGTTGCTCAACAGATAGGCTGTTCAAGCAGATGCTTTAAATTGTGGGAAGAAATGTCTGCCATGTTTGTCTTTTTTTTTTTTTAACTTGTCCCTGAGACAAGGTCTTTATGAGACTTGATTGAAAGTTTAATTGAATTGCCCCATTTGCTTTATCCTGATTTGTTAAGGTAGCATAAATAAGAAAGTGATCAGAATGCTTTTTATGGGCATAAAAATAAAAGAGAGAGTTATGAATGTGTCACCCTTAAAAGCAACTCCTGTTGAGATACTAATAGTTTCTACTGTGAGAAAATTTCTAAACTAATTTTGTCAGCTCTATCTTATCATTTTATTTGGTACTGACACCTTATAACCCACAAATGTAACTCAGGAGATCCTTATTAATGGGGAACCAAGGCTTCAATCTTTGTGGAAAGATTTATACAATTTAAAATGATGACACATTTCATTCCAGGGAAGATCATATCTCTTTAGGCTGTCCTGGTTGAAGCCTGATTTAATCCCAAGTTTAAGATGTGAGAGACCTAGGTTCTTTTATATAAAAAAGTCTGGACCGCATCTTTTCTGGCTGCCCCTCCTCATGGAGGTTTTAACTCCAACAGCAGTTTCCTGACACTGGGAGCTAAAGTCACCCACCCCACCCCCAACCCCGATCCTCGAGTCCCTCACCACCCATGCCTTCTGGTCACAGCTGCACGGATACCATCCCCAGTGCTCGTCAGCTTCTTCACTGCCTTCCTTTCTCCTGCAGTAAGGCTCTGTGAGGGCAGGGATTTTGCCTGATTTTTACAGGAGCTAGAACACAACCCAGCAAACATTAGGCACTTAATAAATGACTGCACGGACCAGACCAAGGCTTCCATTTCTTGAGTCAAGGTCTCAGGTTGGTTGGCCCAGAAGTCTACTCTGAAACGAGGTGGTAAGTCAAAGTCATTTAAAAAGGGCGTATTAGGGAGTTGTTAGGAGCCGAGGCAGGGAAGGAGGAGGAGGAGCAGGAAGGGAGCCGTCAAGGATGTGTTGTGGTTGCATGTCCTTTATTGTGGGCAGTTGGGCTGCAAACCCTTTAGGGGCCTCTGGAGACAGTGCAGAGCTTGTAGCAGAATCACCTACCAAAGGGCTGCCAGGGTCAGACTCCTTCCTGCCAGCTCCTAGCTAAGGGCTGCTCCTGGGGGCTGTGAATGCTTCCAGTCTGCTCAGCATGCACACAAACAGACCTGCATTGCCCAGAGTGTCTGCAGTCAAAGGCTTGCAAGGGCTTGCCTTTGGAACCCTCGGGACTGGCCCCCAGCAGCTAGCTGCCCTAGCCGAAGCCAACTGGGGGCGTGTGGGGGTGTAGGGGGGGCTGCTCAGGAGGAATCTGCACCAGGGCCCTACTGTGTGCTTATGTAAATTATAGCAGTTTATTTGAAAACACACATTTTCTAGTATACTACTTCGTTTTTTGTTTTAGTAAAATGGTTTTACTGGAACACAGAAATTTTCAATTTTCTCTAATCTCTTGATCTCCTCCCTGTAATTTCTGCCATCCTTTCAAAACTGAGATAATGAGAGCATTACTTAATGGTGTTTTTTTTTTGCTGGTAGTGTACCTTAACTATGTTTAAAGGTAAATCTTAGTTCAGGGTTTATGTATTTTTAATATATACTTAGCTCAATTTCATATGTACACAGATCTCCTAGAACTTTTTCAAGGCTGGGGAAATAATGTATACTTCTCAGTATTTTTCCAAAGTTCCAATAAAATATTATTATTAACAAACAACTATTGTCTATTATATTCAAAACATTGTGATAAGTGTTTTGAGGACACAAATAAGAATCAGATGAGAGGGGTTAATGTGGTAGGAGAAGAGTAAATGAAACAAGTTGGGATTGGGAGGGAGACAAACCATAAGTGACTCTTAATCTCACAAAACAAACTGAGGGTTGCTGGGCAGAGGGGGGTTGGGGGGGGTTATGGACATTGGGTAGGGTATGTGCTATGGTGAGTGCTGTGAAGTTTGTAAACGTGGAGATTCACAGACCTGTACCCCTGGGGGAAAAATATATATATATATATGTTTATAAAAAATAAAATTATTAAAAAAAAAAAAAAGAATCAGATGAGAATACTGACCCACAGGAGTCTTTGGTTGTGTAGGATACAGGATATGAATTAAAGTTCTCGGTCTATATCACACAGCACATTATACATCCTTCCAAATGTAAGTCTAAAATTATCATCCCTGAAGTCTGACAAATGTTTCTTTTTGTTGTTTATTTTTTAAGTGTACAGTTCAGTGGTTTTTAGTATATTTGTAAAGCTGTGTACCATTACCACTGATATCTAATTTCAGAATACAGTCACCACCCAAAAGAAACCCAATTTCTGTTAGCAGTCACTTCCCATTCTCCTCTCCTCCCAACCCCTCAAGACCACTCATCTACTCTGTCTCTAAAGATTTGTCTATTCTGGACATTCCATGTGAATGGAATCATATAATATGTGGCCTTTTGTGTCTGGCTTTTTCACCTGGCATAATGCTTTTGAGATTCAGTCAGGACATAGCATGAATTAGCACTTTATTCTTTTTTTCATTAAAAATTTCTAAACAATTTATTCACATACTGTAAAACTCACCCTTTAAAAGTATACAGTTCAGGGGTTTATAATATATTCAAAAAGTTATACCACCATATATCTTCATCAACCCAGAAAGAACCCCCATCTCCCTTCATCTTCATTCTTTTTTATGGCTAAATAATATTCCACTGTATGGATCCCCCCCCCCCGCCCCCGTTTAACCATTCATTGGGTGACGGACATTGGGTGGCTCATATCTTTTGGCTATTCTGAATAACGCTGCTATGAAGATTCTTCTACAAGTTTTGATATATGCACATTTTTTCAATTCTCTTGGGTAAACACCTAGAGTTACCATAGCCCCCGGTAATCCCACTTCCTATGTTTAACATTTTGAGAAAGTGCTGCACTGTTTTCTAGAGTGCCTGCACCATCTCCTATTTCTACCAGCAATGTAGTAGTATTCCAACTTCTCTACATCCTTGTCAACAACTCTTGGTACTGTGTATCTTTTTCATGATAGCCATCCTGGTGGGTGTGAAGTTGGACCCCACCATGGTTTTGAGTTGCAGTCCCCTTACGACTAGTGAGGTTGAGCTATCTACTTGTCCTTACTGGCCATTTGTATATGTTCTTTGGCTGACCCATGAGTTCTATTGTCAACCAGGTTTTTACATATATAATAAAAGTTTGCACACTCTGCCTACAAGTCCAGGTTTGAGTTAGAATGTTGACATGGATCCTGAGATCTGGAACTTAAGATAATTTAGGGGTGCCTGGGTGACTCAGTGGGTTGAGCCTCTGCCTTAGGCTTGGGTCATGGTCTCAGGGTCCTGGGATCGAGGCCCGCATCGGGCTCTCTGCTCAGCGGGGAGCCTGCTTCCCCCCCTCTCTCTCTGCCTGCCTCTCTGCCTACCTGTGATCTCTGTCAAATAAATAAAATCTTTAAAAAAAAATTTTAAATGTGCTCTGTTGTGACTTTCAAAGGATATAGAACTGATTTGTAATTAAAAACCAGTCTGTGAAAATTCCCCAAATATCCAGTTTCTTAAAACAAACCCACAGAACGACCAAGACCTACCTTTTGGACCAGCGGTAGCAGGCTCTTCCTTGACCACAGCAATTCAAGCCCGGTATTCTGTGTCCCCCGGATCTTTTCATTATCATACCTTCTCTGAAAGAGATACCAAGTTAACCCAGGGTCTTTGGATTTCCAACTCGCACTTTGCTGATACAGCCTCAGGACTTGGGACTAAATAAACTGTTTCATTCTCACATCACATTCCTCTCCTTCCTTCTTCACCGGCACATTCACTAGGTGGATACTCTAGCAGCTGATCCCTAAAAGCACCTGGTCGGATTGGCAGCAGCAAAAGGCTCTTCCACATAATGCAGGACTTTAAGCATCCTAGCTTCTGGTTCCCTGTCCTGAGTGTACCCTCCAGTCATTGCAACAAGCTGAAAAAGACCCTGCACATTGCCAAAGGCCCGCACAGGGACGGTTTACCTGCTGTTGAGACCACTGGGGGTGCTCGCCCACCAGTTCCCAAATATTCCTCATCCTTCTTCCTACAGTTCTAGGACCAACCCATACCAAAGGAATAGAGCACAGCTCTTAGAGCTTTGGAAAGAGAAATGTCTTGATTTTGAAAAGTAGGACAAGACATAACAATACTAATGGCCTAACAAAAGGAAAAAATGAAAACCACTACTAACAAGGCTCTTAGCCCTAAAGAAACTAAGCGCTCACGTGCTCACTTTATGAAGGAAAATAATCATTAAGTAAATGTCAATCTCGTTACTTAGCATAAATTTTTAATCAATTTTTAGATTGGCAGCATTTTTAATCATGAAAATGACTGATAAACAGCTAACTTTTATAAGTTATTAAAAAGAAGGGATTCGGTATATTTCATTTTTTAAAAACTGAGCTACAGCTGATAGACATTATACCAGTTTCAGTGTATAAGACATTAATGTGGTATTTGTATATACTGCAAAAATGATCACCTCAATACATCTAATGAACATCCATCACTGTACACAGTTATAACTTTTTTTTCTTGTGACGAGAACTTTCAAGATCTCTTCTCCTAGCAACTTTCAAACATACAACACAGTACGTTTATTTCTAATGCTTTCTCCCACATAACGTATTTGCTACCTGTATGAAACACCCCTAATGTTGGGCCATAGGCAACCTATGTGCTGGAAGCACAAAAGAAAGGGGATGGGGCCGCTGCTACCAGTGTTCAATACAGCAAGGTAGCACTGTGTATAAACAGATGTCCCGAGCGGCTCGGACTCTGTCGGGAAGAAAAGCAGCAGGTAGTGAAGCCAGTAAGATCTGTCCCTATGGCCCGCCGGTAAATCAAAGGGTAATACTTATCAACTTTCCCTCTTCTCTTTAACACGCAACACTGGAACTTACATGCCCTTTGGTCCCAAATCATGGATGAAAGACAGCTGGCTTATGTCAAGGAATTCTGTCTGAAAAAGAGGTCAAAAATCCTTATTTTAGAAAGACAGAAAGAAAAAAGAAAAATTTATACATTTGAAAAAAAATCAACAACATGCATTAGATACTGCATGTGTAAACACATCTGGGGGATGACACCGGGCAACACAATGGCATCGCTCGCCCTGGAAGAACAGATCAGAGGTCTATGTATAATTAAGACACAACCAAGAAAGTGAAGTGTGCTCTCAAAGGTAAAGACAGAATGCTCAAGAAAGTCACCAGGAGAGATTTTACTCCCCAAATTCTTCTGTGTTTTTGTTGTTGGGGAAGGAGGATTGTGTGGCATAGCGTACACACTAACAATAGGGTTGTGTGAAGGCGGTGATGTTGGTGCCAGATTCTGGAGGGTGGATTAGGCTTGGCAAGTGGAAATGGGAGATGAAGGGGGAGAGAGGACAGGGAAAGTGTACAAAGGTCATCAGGTATACAGTTGAGCTACAATAAGCAAGATGAAGAGAGTAATGTAAAGTTAAATGGTAGAGTGCGTTGAAGGGAGTTTGCAGAGATCTTTGAACATCAGGAATACCAGAATATTTTAATACAAATGAAATAAAATAAGGGGTGCCTGGGTAGCTCAGTTAGTTGAGAATCTGACTCTTGATTTCATCTCAGGTGATGATCTCAGGGTTGTGAGATCAAGTCCTGCCAACAGGCTCGTGCTCAGCGGGCAGTCTGCTCAAGATTCTCTTTCTCCTTCTCCCTCCGACCCTCTCCCCACCCCACACTCTCTCTAAAGAAAGAAATAAAATAAAATAATTTTACATACAAATAATATAAAAATAACGATTTTTAGTGAGTAGAAAAGGAAGAGAATTTCATGCCCACCTTTACCTTATAAATTATGGGAAGATAAAAACTACAAATATTATGATGACAACATCAACAGCTAACATTTACTGAGTGCTTAATATCTGTTGGCCCTGTACTAAGCATTTTTCATACATTATCTCAGATCTCTCTGAAATAGGTGCTATTTTTCCCCTTGTACAGAAGAGGACACTGAGCTTTAGAGCAGGGATAGGCAAACTTTCTTGGCAAAGAAGTCAGACATAAAAATTTTAGGCTTTGTGAATCATATACTTGTACTATTATGAAATAAAAGCAGCCACAGATAATACATAAATGAACAAGCATGGTTGTATTCCATTAAAACTTAATTTACACATACTAAAATAAAAATTTAATATAATTTTTATGTCACAAAATATTGTTCTTTTAAAAAAATGTTCAAGCATTTAAGAACATAAAAACTATTCTTAGCTCATAGACCATATAAAAATAGGCAGTGCAATCGATCTGGTCCATAGGCCATAATTTACCAACCCCTGGTGTAGAGATGTTAGATAAATTGTCCAAGACAGAGGCACCTGGATGACACCATCAGCTAAGCATGATGGGTTTTAGCTCAGGTCTTGATCTCAGGGTTGTGAGATCCAGCCCCAAGTCGGGCTCCACGCTCAGCACACTGTTTGCTTTCGACTCTCTCTTCCTCCATCTGCCCTCTCCACCCCCGCATGCGCTCACTCTCTAAAATAAATCAATAAATCTTTTTAAAAAACTGTCCAAGATAACAGAATTAGCAAGGGATAGATTCAGAATTAGGTCAGACCAAACAGTTTCCTCAAAACAAAGCTGCAAAAGCAGTAAATCATTTGCCAAGAGTATTAGATGAAAATGTGAAAGCACAAAGCGAAAACCAATGGACATTATGTAATTCTCAGCATACGCAGGAGTTTCACCTCATGTATTACTTGAAAGAGTTAGAGTTGGACATTATTTGGCTCCCAAATTACAGAATTTTCCTTAAAAGTAGCCACAGTAGGCCCAGATCTACCAGTGGTTGTACATCATGTCAATAACAGCCTTAACAGAAAATTCAAAATCAAGAAGATATGCTCCTGGCATCAGGAAGCAGATGGGAGACCAGATACAGAAGACACTCCCCATCAACAAAGTTCTGTGGGAAGAACCACAACAATTACATGTCAAGTAGTTACAGAGGAAGATGTCCAGTTTCCAGGCTGATTTGACTCCTAAGAAGAAATGGCATTTGAGCCAAGCTTGTAAATGGGATTAATAAAATGAAACCCAACAGTCAGGGCACCTAGGTGACTCAGCCTCTGCCTTCGGCTTGGGGTATGGTCTCCGGGTCCTGGGATTGAGCCCCACATTGGGCTCTCTGTTCAGCAGGGAGCCTGCTTCCCGCTCTCTCTCTCTCCCTGCCTCTCTGCCTACTTCTGGTATCTCTGTCAAATAAATAAATAAAATCTTTAAAAAAAAAATGAAATCTAATAGTTTTTCTTTAATGTTTTATATATGTGATTGGAAATAATCTATTATTAAATTTGTAAGCAAAAAATTACCAATCTCTCACTGCTGTGAGTCACCCAATTAAGTGCTTCCAATTCTTTCTTGGATTATTTGTAAAAATTCAGAAAGACTTATTTTTAACACTCTGAGGACCCAGGAATTGCACTACTGGCTATTTACCCCAAAGATACAGATATAGTGAAAGAAGGGGCACATGCACCCTAATGTTCATAGCAGCAATGTATGATAGCCAAATAGCCAAACTGTGGAAGGAGCCCAGATGCCCTTCAACAGACAAAAGGATAAAGAAAATAGGGCCCATATATACAATGGAGTATTACTCAGCCATCAGAAAGGATGAATACCCACCATTTGCATCGACATGGACAGAACTGGAGGAGATTGTGCTGAGTGAAATAAGTCAAGCAGAGAGAGTCAATTATCATATGGTCTCACTCATATGTGGAACACAGGGAATAGAGCAGAGGATCACAGGGGAAGGGAGGGAAAACTGAATGAGGACAAACAGACAGGGAGACAAATCATAAGAGACTCTGGACTCTGGGAACCAAACTGAAGGTTACAGAAGGGAGTGGGGTGGGGGGATGGGGTGGCCAGGTAATGGGTATTAAGGAGGGAACAAGTGGTGATGAGCCCTGGGTGTTATATGCAACTAATGAATCGTTAAACACTACAACTAAATACTTACGATGTACTGTATACTGGCTAAGTGAACATAATAAAAAAATTAAAATTAAAATATTAAAAATTAAATTCAGAAAGACATGGGGCACCTGGGTGGCTCAGTCCATTAAGCATCTGCCTTTGGCTCAGCTTATGATCTCAGGGTCCTGGGACCAAGACCCACATCAGGCTCCCTGTTCAACAGGGAGACTGTTTCTCCCTCTCCCTATGCCCCTCCCCCACTAGTGTTTTTTGTCTCTCTCTTCCTCTCACTTACTCGCTCTCAAATAAATAAAGATAATCCTCAGAAAAAAAATCCAGAAAGACTTAAAAACCCCCAACCAAATATATCTTCACATTAAATTTTTTATAAAGATTCTATGAAGACTTTACAGTTCATTCTTGTATAAAACATTGTGATTCAGTACCATATTTTAAAAATCTGATCTGTGGAAACGCTTGTTATTAGAAGTGACACTGCAGACTCTGAACATAGAATCCAAAATGTTTTAAAACCCTAAACCATAACTTCTCATTTAATCTCTAGGGAGCAGAGAGAAAATGTCAATCCTAGTTTACACTGGAAGAAACTACTACAGAGGTATAACTAATTTATATGCAAAGCTACAGAACAGTTAAATGGAGGAACAGGAAATGAAAAGCAAAAATCAAGGAAACAATATTCCACAGGGCTGACTGATCTCTTGAATAATGTATTAATCAATATTATTTTTCCAACTTGTGAGAAGTACAAGTAAATGTTAGGCAAACAGGGAAATAAAGTTCCAAAGACAAGGGACAAGCAATTAGCCCAAGGGGTAACAACAAGCCCTGGAAATTACCTGACAATCATGCATTCAGGGTTCCTCTAGCCCATCTTTGTACTGGAAGGGGGGCGGTTTCAGAGGCCACCTTGATGCCTGAGGCAGCAAAATGCCCAAGCAAGTGCCCCATCGGGAAATTCTCGGAAGCAAGGGAGACAAAAGTGCTGGTTTGGGCAGTGCCCTTCTGGAAAGGGTAGGAGGTTGGCTCACTTACTCCAGGAAAGCTTGCCTTCCAGGTCAGACAATGAACACAGCCCCAGAGAAAAGAGAAGACATCTCATCAGTGGAGGAAACAGGCCGGACTCTCTCATCTCTTAAGACTCAATCATGAGAATGACAAGACGTCCCTTACTTTGCAGGCGCAGCTGTTTAACAGCACAGCTTCTCCCCGTTGGCATGGAAACACTGTGGGCATCTTCATTCACCTTTACCCATTCTTCCCCTCAAACTGAATTCACTCACCGTATAAAACAAGGGAGGGGTGAACTCAGTATTGTCTGTCTGTGGAATGCTTATCTTCAGATTCCTTACTTCCCAGAGGGTGATTAGCTTGAAATCACCCTCTAGGAGGTAAGGAATCTGAGTTACCACAGTCAAATGTCAGTCAAACTGGAAGTTAGCAATAGCATCCTGTCAACCTAAGATGCTTCTGGAAATGATGCATTTCATTCCCTTTCTAGATTTTAATCTTCAGCTGGAAAAAAGGTACATTTCCTGTTCCTTTTTTTCTTTTTAAATTTTATTTATTTGACAGACAGAGATCACAACTAGGCAGAGAGGCAGGCAGAGAAGAAGGGAAGTAGAATCCCTGATGAACTGAGTGCCCGATGCAGGGCTCGATCTCAAGACCCTGAGATCATGACCTGAGCTGAAGGCAGAGGCTTCAACCCACTGAGCCACTGAGGCACCCACATTTCCTGTTCCTAATGACTCTTCCTTTAAATTCCCTGCAAGCCATGCATTTTCCAGTTACTAATTAAAATGCTCCCTGTTGGGTTCAGTATTAGAACTAGCACCAATACAACTTAGAATATAAAAGGAATTCTGTTTGAGATTTTGTATTTTGTATGTTACAATTGAGTAAACACATTCTTTTTTTAAAAACATATTTATGTCTTGAGCAGAGTGCAAAGACATGTATACCTATTTTACAAATGAGTAAACAGAATGAATTACCAATAATCTCTGAGGGAATTATCTGATGTTAAATCCACTAAAACACTAAGATGACATGTTTTTCAGACCCTCAAGGAGGAAGAAGGAATTTACAAAGTTATACTCCTGGAAAAAAAAATTCCTGATCTAAATACTAACTTAACCAATGACCATAGGAAAATAAAGAAAACTGTTCGTGTTTGGTTTCATTGAAATTCTATGGAAATTAGAGATGTGATCCTATCTGACCCTTGACCTATGATCCATGATCTCTGGCCTAAAGACCCAAATTAACTTCTAATAAGCTTGTTTTACAGTTAAAAAGTATAAATTAATTATATGTGACTGTATAAAAATTACTTTTAATATGATTTTACAGACAATAGTTTTAATATTTCTCACAATTATCAAAGGATACACAAAGATGCCAATCTAATTTCACAAATATGAGGCAAAAGCCTGTAAATCTAGTCTCTAGGCCAAATTACATTATGTGACAATTTAATAACGTTAGAAAATTAAGACAGATTGAATTGTATCTTATGTCTGAATCATTCTGGAGAATTCCATTCTTAGGGTAAATAAGTAGCTATCAAAAATGTGAGGTAACATATATTTGGGTCAGTTGAGACCAGGTTTTCCCTTTTAGAGGAAATGTTTAGAAGACATTCTAGAATTTCTAGATAAAATATGGCTCAACTCTGGAAAGATTTTCATGATTGGAAAAGAAAATGAACATTTAAGAAAATGTACACATTTTTTAATCAACATAAGAATCCAAAATGTAGTACTATACACAGAAAGAGAAGACTAAACTTAGCAATTACTGTTCTAAAGCCAAAAGAAATAGCACCAATAAAGTCATAGGCAGGCAGAAGAGTAAAACAAATGCAAAACCATCGCATACTGGTACTAGCACACATTTAAATACTCCTCTGTGTATCTCTTCAGAGAACACAACAGGAAACAGCATTTTTAGCCATAGCAATGACCAGTTATATAATCGGAAATAACAGCAGTGACATCCTTACTCATTACACTCTCTCAAAGATGCATGTTCCTGAGTCCCAGAAGGGAAGAAAATCTCTCCCATCCTCCTCCTCTTGAGAGCCTCCGGTTGGACCCAAGTTGCTGGTTTTCCTGGGAAAACTCCTCCAGGATTAGGAAACCACATATGCTCCTTCAAGTCCACCAAATGAACAGTGCAAGCTGCCGCAGAAGGTGGGCCATGGGCTCGGCCCCAGATCATTTGTGCTTGGGGGGACCAGGGGACAGGATGGGGGCTTGTCCAGCCTCCAGATAATACCCTGACAGGCAGCAAGATTGCAGTGAGTCACCAGAAAACTCCAAAGAGTGAAGGAGCTCTTGCTTCCTCTCCTAACACAGAAGCCTTCCTTCCTTCTTTCTTTTCTCTTTTCTTTTTTTTTTTTTAAGATTTTTTTATTTATTTGAGAGAGAGAGAGAGCAAGTGCACAAGTGTGGGATGGGGAAGGAGCAGGAGGAGGGAAGAGAGGGGGGGAAGACTCTCATGCAGATTCTGCCTTGATGTGGAGCCCCATGCAGGCTCGATCACAGGGCTCTGAGATCATGACCTGAGCAGAAACCGATAGACAGATGATTAACTAACTGAGCCCCACAGGTACCCCTTCCCTCTATTTAAGTAATGGCATTCTCTAAACTAGAGGCCACATCTAGTAGGCCGGGACAGCCTACTCTTAATTTCTGCCCCTATACCATATATATACATTCAACCCCCGAGCGTTGCAGTTTCTACACACATAGATGCAAAAATACAATAACCCAGGACATTCTCAGTTATCTGGACTTTTAGATAATTGAAGTTTAACCCTTTAAAAACATGCCTTCAAGGCCTCTAAGAGGACTGACCTTACTGTTTTCTGAGAACTTCTACAAAAGCCTACTCCTTCCTGCTTGGCACCTGTGGGCCTCCCAGCTGCTTCTAAGCCTCACCACGTCTTCTCTCTTTTATTTCCCCAGAGTTTTTTCCTCCCCCTCACTTTTCCCATGCTTCTCACTTTCACATGAAAAGACAGGCCTTTCATAAGCATCATGGGCCAACCTGATGGCCAACCAAGCAGGACGCTCTGTATAAACTTTGGGTATTTGACTCTGCTCAGCTGTTTCCTCACTTACTACTCAAGTGTTTTTTCCTTTAGGCTTAGAAATGCTTTTGGGTATTATTCTGGAAAGCCAAGGAGACAACGACGTCGATTTCTAGATAATCTAGCCTGGAGCAGAGTTTCAAGTTCGCTTAAATCTACTGTTCTAGACACGTTAATTTTTATATGATTTTTTTAATAGCATCACCATGAACTAAATTATTGCTGTCAAATCAATTTTGCGCTCATTAACTGTAACTTGAGGAATACCAGAGAAGTGGATACAAGCACTTCTGTTAATAAAACGATCCAACATTCAGCTGACAACTTATGATTTTATAAACTATTTCAAAATTTAAGTCACTGAACAATACTTACTGTCGCATGGTAGTTTCTATACATGGGCATTTTTAGTAGCTTTGTCAAATAATCTTCTAGTTGTTTCTGTAACACAAATATATTAGATGAGAGATAACAGTGACAGGGATGTGATCATTATCTCATTTTACCTTCTGCAAACTTATTCAATTCTTTACTTGTATTATCACGGGAAAGGAATCTTGAATAGCATTAAGGAGTTATTTCCATAGTACCCCTGAACCATTTTTCAAATTCCTTCTTGCTATTTAATGTTTTACATGCTTCTGTCTTTTAAAAACTGCTGACAAGACCCAATCTGTATATTCTTTTAATCTTCCGTAGTTACTAGCACAAGACTTGCCCATGGTAGACAGTCTAAAGGCATTTGTTGATTTTATTAAAACCCTGAATTTCCTTAATTATAACACTGAATTTACTGGTGGATATATTACTGTTTTTTTCAAAATTGTTTCGAGGGGGAGGAAGGGCAGGGAGAGGTTAAAAAAAGGAGAGAGAGACTTTCTAGTAAGTTGTACCCTGATTTCAAATATGCTCAAATGCACGAGGGTAATGTCCATCACAGTGACTATGATGATGTGTGTGGCAGTACTAACTGTTAAAGCCACAGCTTCTCATTTTCAACTGCATTCATGTAAGTGCACACAGAAACCCCACACTGTAGGGTATCTTGGAAAATATTTGTTCTAGATCGCTAAAAAGATTTCATACAAGAAGACAACTACACAAAGAAGAAATCAAATATTGCTTTCAGAACATTAAACTTTCAGATTACAGAACAGAACTGACATTTACTTGGTAACTTTCCAGCAGAAAAACTATCTCCTCCCCTGCATGTCTCTGCATCACTGTGGCAGAGGACTGGGGCCTCTGGCTTCTGTCCTACCACTCTCTGACCTGAAGGGCTCCCCCCACAGTTTGAGAATGAGACCTCACACAGATTTAGGACAAGCTACTATAAAGCCTGGAGCAAAGAGAGGGAAATATAGGTTTTTAAAAGAGTAGATCTCAAAACACTCAATGATGAGCTCAATCTTGACTCACAAAGAGCCCTAAGAGGTTCCCACTGGGAGGAAGCTTCTTCGCAGAACACTCCTCCTCCTCCGGGAAACACACCCTCCCCAGGTCAGAATGGCGTGGGGAAGGACTGCCTAACAAGTTCCAGAGAAGCCAGCCTGGGTGAGGGTTCCCGGGGTGAGAACAGTTGCAGCTGGCCCCCCAGCCCCACCCCTCAGGAGCCGCCAGGTTTCTACAGAACCACAAAATTATACTCCGAACAGCAGAAGACTGGAAGGACTTACCCTTCTGCCAAAGAACTGTTCTTCTCTGATCATGTTTTCAGAGGAACGGGGCAAACTTGGCATCTCTCGAGGCTCTTCTTTGACGTTCTGTCTTCTAAATGTGTGCCTAAAACATCCACGCATTGGAAACATTTATTATTCTTTCTAACATGATTCTAATATTACTCTTATAAAACCTTTCATAAAATGGTTTATTTTTAGAAAAGCCTATTTTAATAGAAAATATCCACTGACAATGGACAAACTAACCCATAATATCGATAAAATATTCTTCCCACCCAACTTGTATACTGGAGTAACTTTATATAATTATTCTGAGACAGTTACCTTCTGGTGGGAATGGGGATTCGGATAAAAGCTTTGTACTTGAGCAGCTCTCTGTGAAATTCTTGAAAGTGTTTGAATTTCCTCTTAACTTGCCACTTAAATTCCCCGTGTGTTAATTCAATAGTGTAAAGATTGATACTTGGCACCTACAGTGATCAATAAAAATGATTGATATTTTAGGTAATAATAAAAACTCTAAAATCTCTCCATGAACTATAGCTAATTAATAAGTAACTTAAATTTGGCTTACATATTTTGGATAAGTACTTAAGCAAAATGTTTTCTATAACAACTGATTACAGAAATAACATTCCCTTCAATGTTCACCTTATAATATACATAAAGACCAACTCTGAATCGCACCAAAGACAAACTCTACAAATCATACTGCTCCAAAAACATACACACACAAACACACACACACACACACACACCCCTGAAATAAGAAACCAGGTAAAGGAGACAATGAGTGAGGACCCTAATTAGTTATCAGCAGTAATTCTGCTTGTCCAAAAGTATAAGCAGAGAACAGACAACTGGAGTGGGGTGAGAGGAAAGCTGGAGGAAATGGATTCCAGGAACACGATATGATCTTAGCCCACTTCTCGCCCTTTGCAAATGACATTAATGTCTTCTCCTCCCGCAACATATTCCAAGGTCTGTCCTTGTCTACAATATCTCCCTGCCCTGAAGGACCACCAGTGGCCAGCAAAGGTATAGGAAAATTAGAGGGAAAGAAGCCCAGGATTTTCCTACACACAAAATACTTTTCCCAATTACTTAACTAAAATGAATCCCCACTTGAAATTTTTTTTTTAAGATTTTTTATTTATTTATTTGACAGAGAGAGAGATCACAAGTAGGCAGAGAGGCAGGCGGAGAGAGAGAGGAAGGGAAGCAGGCTCCCTGCTGAGCAGAGAGCCCCATGTGGGGCTCGATCCCAGGACCCCGGGATCATGACCTGAGCCGAAGGCAGGGGCTTAACCCACTGAGTCACCCAGGCGTGCCCCCCACTTGAAATTTTTAAAAGATTTCTTACTAAGATGCAAAGACACTGACTAGTGAATTATTTCAACCAGAAAAACTAACCTATCTGGGGGATAGTTTTGATAGAGTACAAAGTGTCAGGAAACTGAGGGATGTTTATAAAGCAGAGGAGCAGGGTGCCTGGGTGGCTCAGTCGGTTAAGTGTCTGCCTTTGGCTCAGGTCATGATCCCAGAATTCTGGGATCAAGCCCCGTGTCAGGCTCCAAGCTCAGCGGGGAGTTTCTCCTTCTCCCTCTGCACCTCCCCCCCTCTCAGACTCACTCTCTCCCTCTCTCTCTCAAAACAATAAAATCTTAAAAAAAAATAAAAATAAAAATAAAGCAGAGGAGCAGAGGAGATCCTGAAGGAAGGTCTGTGAGTTTGGAAGGCGGGGCGGAGAGTAGGGGGTTGGGTAGGGCACTGGGCACTCTGGTCCACCTAGAGGACACTGGCCTCTGCTGGGAGGTTTAGGAATCAAAGGTGTTGGGGGCGGGAGAAAGTAAGTATCTCATTCTCTGCTAGTTGATCCAGGCTCTGGTGTCACCAAGCCCATGAGGGATACCCGGCCCACTGTCATTCATTACTGATGTCTGGCACACTTGGCAAACTTCTAAAGCATGACCGCTCTGTGTAGATGTCATATATAAAACCGAAGCATGAGGATCAATGCAACCTACGTGCTCTTAAGTCTGGAATCCAACCATATCACTGGTTAATATTCAAATCTAGCATGTGCTTTGCCTCGACTTAGGATTCATGACAGTTACAACAGCTGGAAGTTGAAAAACACCACTTCTGGGGTTCAGTACTGTATGCCGCCTTTTACTTTGGCCAACATGATAAGCATCATCCTCCATCATGTTTCACACAGAAGAACGTAGGAAAACTCAGAACGGCCAGAAATGTTGCAGGCAAGTGAAAAACATTCAATTTAGGATGAACCATATGAATAAGAAAAATTACACAATTTAGGCAAGTGGCTACATTTCCTGGGATTATACTTTTCAATCCTATGAAAACTGAATACTTAGAAAATACTGCAAATGCCAAGTTTTATCCCTCACATATAAACCCCCAGTTTCATACTAAACTTCTTAGCAATTGTGAGGCAGTATGGTACCATGGAAAAAGACTAGCGCAGCCTTTTTGAAGCTTTTAAAGGTCTGAAACCCTGTGGTGCAGCCTACCAGCTGGGAAACTTCAGCCAAGTGTCACTTCTGTCAGACAACATCCCAGAAGAATTATGGGAATTCTTTAGAACTGGAGTAATTCAAAGAGTTTTCATAAAGGAATTGCTTACGAAGACATGATGGGGTAAGGAAACCCTAAAGGAAGGACAGTAACCTGGGGTTCTGAAGGCATCCCCACTCTTAAAAGGACACGAGGAAAGACCAGGTACTGGAACAAGGAGGAGAACCATATAAAGATGGCTGCCTTGGTCAAGGGACACAGCCAGCCCAAGGGGACCCCCACCTCCTATCTGGGCTCTCCACTGTCTGAGCCCTACCAGAGAACAAAAGCGGAGAGCCTCGAGGGGCAGAACACAGGGTGGAGAAGGGTGGGGCGGGGACAGGGGGCAAATGGAAATCTCCAGCCTGATAGGGCCCTAATAACATCTGCCTCCCTGGATTGTCATGCAAACGAAGAAAGACGAGAGAGAAGTGCCTTGCCTTGGGCGGGTACAGAGAATGTATTCGGTAATTAGAAAAAGTGTATTTTTATAAACCTGGAGTCACATGTAAACCTCAAGAATTTAGTTCACATATCTTAGTAAACCAAACACCAAGAAGGGTACAGATAATCCTTAGGGAACTAAACCAAACTCACCTGACGAACGGGAGTACAAGCAAGGAGAAGGTCCTGGCTTGGGAACTTGAATACTTAGCTTTGTGAATAACTTTAGGAGAACTCTCATGTTAATAATACATAGCATTATACAGTGTATGCTTCTATAATACTGTAAGGGCCAAGAGCAGGCTGCTTTGGCATGAAGATTACTTTGAGTTAAAAAGCAACCAAACCCAGCAGATCCCGGAAAAGCTCTTTATGTCCCTGACCTCCGCGGTCTAGAAAGAATTTAGCTAAAGGACCTGCTCCAGAAAGAAAGCTATCACCACAGATGACTACATTATACTATGAACTAAGCAAGGTAGACAGGGAGGAACTAGCAAGGTCTGTTCGATCAAAGTCCTCCATGTCTCCTTGTTTCAGAGTGGCTCAGCAAACATTTGTTTACCAGATATTTGCTCTTTTTCATCTCCCTGTGAACTGAATTCCTTCCCTTTGAAGTTCCAGACCCTGACCCAATTCTCCATAGTTCAGAATAACATAAATACCTGATTTTGCCCGTTTTTGGAATTTCCATGTCTATGTGGATTCCCCATACACATGAAATTAAATTTGATTTTCTTCTATTAATCTGTCTCACGTCAATTTGAGTCTTCATCTGGCTAGAAGGATCTTTGAAGGGGATAGAAAGTTCTTGCTCCCCAATAATATACAAAATTCTTGTATAATGCTATGTATTATTATTAAATCCTTATGACAAACCTATAGTGTAGGCACCATTACACCCATTATTCACACAAGGAAACGGAGAAACAGAAAGATTAAACAGCTTACTAGAGATCACAAAACAAAAACAGGAATTAAACCATGCAGCCTGGTCTGGAGTCTGGGCATTTAATCCTGTGAGCATGCTTATCCCCTCCCAATCTAAAAGCTGGTAGTCAAAATAAGAAAGCAAAGGTCATCTCAGAGACATTTCTGAGCGGGCTGTGCTCAGCAATATAGCAGGGGAGTACAGACTCCTCTCATACAAAGAGCCTAAAGGAAAGGTGGGTGTAAACTAGGAGTCAAGATATGCAGGCAAGCACAGGTAGTCAGGGCAGAACACTAAGCAAAACTAGGAGGACCAAGGTAGCACAGGGCACCCGGCAAAAGACGAGGAGGAAGGTCAGGCAGACCTGCCTGCCTCTGGAGCAAGGTTCTTCTACCCTTCCCCTAAGGCAGGAGCCAAGGTGACCTTCCACCTTCCTCAAGGTGGCCCAAGGGGGCCAAGAAAGGGCCCCCTGAGGCCCTTCCTGCCTCAGGGGAAGGGTAGAAGAAGAAACTAGAGTTTAGCCCCAGGGGACAAAGGCCACCAGCCTACAGCAACGTCCTCCACTTATCAGACTTGATCTCTGTGATAAATAGTAACCAAGCAAAGGCAGCGACTCTAACAGCCTCTAGTTCAATCCGTTTCACAGAGGGATGCTTTGCTTGAAGTCACCTTCACAGAAGATGCCTTTCCAGCACTCAAAGAGAAAAGCCCGTGAACAGGGAGGGCCTAAAGGACAGGTGCTAAGAGCGAATCAGAGTGGTGGAGGAGGCCGGCACAATTCGCTCAGCTGGGCTTCTGGGTAGTGACCCCGACCAGTCCACCAGCATCCTGGCCTGTTTCAAGAGCCAGGTGACACCATGATTTTCTTGCTAAACAAGCATTAGGAAAGCTAAGCTTTTCCTTGGCTTCTATGTGGCATTCTAGGTGGAATGGCTATGCCCCAGGAGCCCACATTAAACAGAAAATTGGGGAGAGAAGAGGACTAGGAGAGGCACTTGGCAATTTATTAAACTTAGAAATTTCCTTAGGTACCCCCCCTTTTTTTTAAGAGAGGCATTTTCCAGAATGAGGAGAGAGGCATATGAGAATAAAGACTGAACGGAAAGCAAAAACTTGAGAGGCAGTGAGGACTTAGAAGCGGTTAAAAAAAAAAAATTCTGAAAACATAGTCATCACTACAAGGAAGGAAAATGGAAGTCAGCATATCGACTTGTCTACAATGGCTAACACAAGGTGAGTCCATAAATATTCTGACCCTTGTTGTAGATGTAAAGCGTTCCACTTCCAGGACTTGGGCTTTTATTGGACAGCCGGAAAGATACGTCTGTATGTTAGGCTCCTTAAATCCTTGAGTCTTATAAATAGCAGAGAACGGAATACACGCTAAAAAACAAACAAGTAGATAACGTTATTGCAGGAATACAATGACATTGCAAGGATACACGGTATTAGCCTAACTTGCCTTTTCCGAGGATGGGCCCAAGAATCATAACTACTACAAGCAAACAGCTAATGAAGCAGTCTCAGCCCTCAAGTGAAGACACCCACAGAAAGATCCAACATAACACAATTAAAAAAGGGGAGGGAGGATCAGTCATTTGCCTGTTATTTCAAATCCGCGCTCTGCCAAGCAATGCCGATCAACTCTCTCCTCGCTCAGACCATCGGTCTTTACCTTCCTGTATCTTGGGATCGCTGGGGGAGACATCGTAATCCACCTCTTCTCCCTCAAAGTGCAGCTCCCGCGTGTCCAGATTTTCTATCAAATTACTCATGTCAGCAGCAATTTTCTGCAGTGCGGAGGTATTTACTCTTGGCTCATTTTTCAGGGACATGTTGGCTTCCGACAGGGTACGAGCAAAGGGGCTGGGGAGAAAAAGGGTTACCAGGATTTACTATTTCGAATGAATCCACACTCATTCCACAGTATGAAGCCAGGCTTAGAGACAGCACATGGAAACAAGTCAACACGCTCTGTGTGAGCCCCGGTTATCTCAAGCAACCTTGTCATTTATTTTCCTGTTTCACGTTTAAAGGATTCCTAGCCTGTAAATTAAATCCGAGTGAGATCCTTAATCACAAGCAAATAAGAAAGAGAAACACTACATTGAATAAATGCCAACATATCTTTCACCCAATTTCATTAACTTGGATAAATGAGGAGAAACTCCAGGGAGGCTGGTTTGGGGATGGTGATTCAGAGGGAAGGAATGGATTCTTAACTCTAACAAATACATGGGGGAAAAAAAGGTCAGGTAAAATTAACCCACTTTAAATATTTTCTAAAGAAAATTGAGGGCATTTTACAATAATTTCAAGAAGCAGATTTAAAGTTATTTTTGCAACAGCATAAACTTTCTAGATGTCCTCTGTAGGTGACATCCCAAGCAAAATGTATATACGATCTTTTTGAACTAGGAGGTTTGGGCCATGACAACGCACGTGTCTTGAAAGGTAACTGATGAGCATACTTCTTCTGAAAGATACTGGAGGTGCTCAAATTGTACTTCTCTCCTTTTTTAAGAGAACGGGTTCTATCTCATTTCGACATTTAATAACACAAGTCGTTGCACACCAATACCCATGGAAGAAGAGTTCATACAGATTTTATTTTTCCTTTAAAATACGGAGATTTACACCTTGAGGGCTGTCATCAGAGTTGGATGAAAAATTCCTCTTGCTGGAAATAATCTGTTACAACCAGGCCCGAAAATGGCAGGATTTTCGTAAGAATAACTCCGCCATACAGGCTCACTTATTACTATACCTCACAAACATTTACAGAGCACCTGCCGCTCACTCATTGTGAGGTGCCATGAGCAAATACATAAAGATGAACAAGACTGGTCCCTGTGATTAAGGAGCTCCTGACATGGGTACATGAAGGGCATGTGCTGAGTGCAAGACCTTCAACCTGGTTCTCTCCTACCGTTATGATCAAGAATCTGGGGGAGGGGGCCCAGGGAGAAGGCTCTGTGGCCAACGCTAAGAGAGCCTGACCAGACTTGCACAGCCCTTATGGGAACTCATCAAGTCTCTGAAACCTGTACTGCCATGGCTGGTAGAAAGAGATCTTGTCTAGAAATTCAGAAGACTGGGGTAAAGGAATGTGGCTCTGGTTTGCCCAGATCTATATAATTAATAAAACAAAGTTCTCTGTGAACTACATAATTGATCATGTTTCTCCATGCTGGCTGTAAGGAAGCCTGGAGCCACATCAGTGGCCTACAGTTAGCAAAACAGAGGCCCATCCTTGCCTACATTGCTTCCCCTCACCTTTCTTTCCCACTTGCAATTTATATTATAATAATAGTTAATGTATACTGATTGCTTCGTATGCACTTGGCTTGGTGATAGTCCTTTATACACATTATCGTGTTTATCATCAATAATAAATCTATGCAGGTTTATTTCTATTGAAGAGCTTACTATCCCCTCTTCACAGAGAAAAACACTGAGGCACAGAGAGATTAGGTAATTTGATGAATACCTCAGACAATGTGTCCAAGGTCACGGAGCTTATAAGTAGTGAAGAAGAGATTTAAAACCGGGTCTCTCTGACCCAAGAGCTGATGTTCTCAACCACAGTCTTTATCTTCCTGTACACCTTTGGTAGATACGAACGTGTCCCTGCAATAGATGGAAGTTTTAGTAAATTCGAAGTGCCCCTGGACAAGACTCAAATGGAAAGAAAGGGAAGGGACTTCCTCTTGAAGCTCAGTACTTTGGGATGGAGCCATTTACGCTCTCGGGGCCTTCGTTACTCCTTTTAAGCTAAGGACGGTGAGCATTTCATCTCTAGGGTCCCTGTAACACTAGAACCCTAACTGTAGATAAAAATATGTTCCCTATTGTTCAGCTTCCCCGTATAAGTAATCACTTTAACCCAAGAGACTAACCCAAGTAGTTTTTTGTATGAATCCGAGAAGCAGGTGACAGACGCTCTCCAACCTGGATCATTTACTGGAGGTCGGCTCGGCTTCCGTGGAGGAGCTGTTGCCTCTGGTCACAATTAAAATATTTATTTCCTTCCCCCTCACCTCAACAAACACTTACTAGATGCCACCCATGAGCCAGGTTTTGCTTCATTTAAAATACAAGCTCATGAAAAACTTAGAGGAAATGAGACAAGGTAAAACAAGTAAGAAATTACATCATATCACAGCTGCTCATGAATTTGTAAACCTTGGGTATTTTCTATTGATTAAACTGTCTTACGGTTAACTCTGCCAACTTCCTTAGCACAGCAAAGGAAAACAAGAGTTACTCCAGTGACTGTCCTCTGGGACAGAATGTCAGGTTAACATGCATGTTGAAGGTAAGATATACAGAGATCATACTGCAAGAAAAGTGGAATAAATAGTACAGAGTCACTGAAATCGAGCTAAAATAAAAATCCTTTTTCAGATAGAAAGAACTGAAGCATATAAACTTGTGAAAAACTTAAGAGAAATAGAAAGGAATCTTCTTATCATTTATACTCAAGTGCTTATTATGTGCTAATAAATAAGCATAATTTCAGCACAGTTATGTTATTTAATACTCACAATGGTACCACCTGATATTTATGATTATTCTGAAAGACTTAGTTAAGTAACTTGCCCAAGGTCACTCAACTTGTTGAGTTTACTTATTGAGTTTTACTTATAAAGTACTGAGTTTACTTATAAAGCAGATTTGTTTGGCTCTCAAATCTCATTGACTTGGTTATAGAAGTTCATAATCATTGTTTTATTTAATGGGTTGAATGTCTATAAATTAATCTTTTTTATAAGGTTTATGGTTCATAACAACAAAAGATGTTATCTAGTTCAATCCCCGTACCTTCAAAGGGATCCTACTAGCCCTACAGTCATTGTAATTATAGAAACAACATATCCCAGCAGCCTCCTGCATTTCTTTTTAGCCTTTCGTTTTTGTGGTTCATAATATTTTATAATATCACGTGGAGTTTCAGTGGACCCTAACGGTTTGTAGATTTTTTTTCCAACCTTTTGTGAAGACTCTAACCATTTAATAATGGAAAATGAACCAAACTGTCCACATTACTGCCTCCACTCATGTCCATGGTTGCTCTGTGTTGACATTTTGTCCATCAATTGTATTGCTGGTTTCATTCTTGAATATCAAACTGTAAGGCCATCCACACTTGTATGTTGTCAAACCTTAATTTATTAGCCTATGTTTTCTTTTATCTAAATTAATCTGTACTGGTGAGTGAACAGCTGCCCCAGTCACAGCCTATCTTAACCAGCAATGGGATAAGGCCTTCAGTGTTTACATTTGAGATAATGTCATTGATTTTGTTATCTCCTTATAAAATACTGCAAGATCATTATCTCTCTCTGTACCAAGTAGAGATGGCGCCCAAGGATGATAATAGCAGCTGTGTTTTATTTCTGTCTGCATCTCAATCTGGGAAGTAAATGGGGTCGATTTTTTTTCCTTCCTGGTATTGAATACTAGAATTATAATTTTTTAAAGGGAACAGCTTTTTGTTTTTTTTTAAAGATTTTTATTTATCTGACAGATCACAGGTAGGCAGAGAGGCAGGCAGAGAGAGAGGAGGAGGAGGAGGCAGGCTCCCCGCCGAGCAGAGAGCCTGACAGGAGGCTCGATCCCAGGACCCTGGAATCATGACCTGAGCCGAAGGCAAAGGCCTTAACCACTGAGCCACCCAGGCGCCCCTAAAGGGAACAGTTTTAAATGTCCTCCTGTTATTCACTGGTGAAATCAGAGAACTCTAGAGTTTTCTTCTAATATTAATGGTCAACATGACTGAGAAGTAGAACACCAAAGGAAGCAGATATTTTCCTTTCCGATAGACATAAGCAATGTCTACGCCAAAAATACAATAATAATATTAGAACTATTAATTTTTTTAAAGATTTTATTTATTAATTTGACAGAGATCACAAGTAGGCAGAGAGGCAGGCAGAGAGAGAGGAGGAAGCAGGCTCCCGGCTAAGCAGAGAGCCCGATGTGGGGCTCGATCCCAGGACCCTGGGATCATGACCTGAGCTGAAGGCAGAGGCCTTAACCCACTGAGCCACCCAGGCGCCCCAGAACTATTAATGTTAAAATAAATGTTAATGTTAGTTAATATTTGCTGACTATATACTGTATGCCAGGCACTATTCATAAAGATTAATGACACACTCTCAATGAACCTCACAACAATCTTAGGAGCAGGGCCCTATTGTTACCCCTTTTTTTTTGTTTTGTTGTTTTGTTTTAGAGAAAGAGAGACGGTGGGGGGGTGTGGGATGGGGCAGAGGTTGAGAGAGAGAGAGAGAGAGAGAATCTTAAGCAGACTCCATGCTCAGCATGCCCAGGGCTCAATCGCATGACCCCTGAAATCACCACCTGAGCCAAAATCAAGAGTTGGAGGCTTAGCCGACCAAGCACTCCAGGCACACTTATTACCCCCATTTTTAAGAAGAGAAGCTTAGAGAGAATGGGCAACTCTCCCAGAGCCTGTGGCTAGGAAGTGATTAGAGCTGGACCCAACCCTGCTTGACCTGACTCCAAAGTCCGGCTACTTAACCAGCCAGAAGTGAACTGGGGGTGTCGGGACAGCTAGACACTGAAGATATTTACTCCTTCCTTAACATTCTCACAGAATAAAACAATTCAAAAAGGAACAACAACAACAAAAATTCAGCATTCATTCTGTGAAGACAACCGACTGATTTCTTGCCTCCCTTTCTAACATAACATGCAAAGTTCTCCTCTATTTTTTAAGACCTTATTTGTGCTTGCCAAGAAAAATAAATGCAATGTATTTCCAAAGCAAAAATCACAGCATAATATTTGGATGTGAAACGAATTATAATTAGATCATTTAAAACCAAACTGAGTCACGGGGAT